GACATCTTCATCAGGACGTCAATGCCGCAAGTCAAGACTAGTAATGAGGGCAAGAAAACTGTGGAAGTATCATTTATTGGTTATTTTTTTGGGACAAAGTGACAAGCTTGTTCCCTTGATGAATGAGAGCTTCCATGAGTTGGGTTTACAACATAGAGGCTTGCTTTGAAATGAGCTGGGTAGAATCCATGGTATTCTGGGCTGACCATCCAGTTGGAACTCCCATGTATGTTCTACTTAATAATACAACGTAACAATAAAATTCTTCACGGCTGAGTCGGACTATGTGAAGGAACCAATTCCAAAAGAAGGTATACAATCTATATGGAAGAATATGATTGACGTAGAAAATATATGTGGATGCAATGGAACCCCTACGGTGGAAGAATGAGTGAAATCTCTGAGCCAACAACTCCATACCCTCACAGAGCTGGAAACCTATGTTTGATTCAATAGTATACGTCGTGGATTCAAGAAGGGATTGAGACCAACAGCAAGTACCTTCACTTTTCAATAATTTTTTTTCGAACGATGAATCTATTGCCTCCAAGAACCCAAGAGAGGCCTTCCAATGCTATAAAGATCTCGACTTTTGGGCCACAATGAATAATCGGACCAACCTACAAATTGCAATGCTTTAGGGAAGCAAATATTTTAAAGGTAATTTTGATAGATTGGTACATGTGAAAACCATGGTTGATCCTCAGAATTTTTCAAGCACAAACAAAGTATATCCCGCCTAGAGAAAGAGAATAATAGGTTTAGCAAAGAACTTAGGGCATCTCCAATGGAAAAATGCAAATTTGAGTGCAAAAACTAAAATGAAAGTTTTACTCCAAAAGATGTAAAATGAAAATGAAAATGAAAGTTCTACTCTAGTGGGAGGGATGTAAGTTCGAGATCCTATTTAATTTTCTTTTCTTTGATTGGTGCAACCCCTAACCAAAAGATGTAAAATAAAATGTAAATTTAAACTTTTATTTACATCTTCCCGAGAAAATGTATAATTTACATTTGACCTTTAGAGAATTATCCGCTAAGATATGAATCATATGATGTAAAAGGTCCATTTCAAGGTATTTTGCATCTCCTAGTGAAGATGCCCTTATGTGTGGGATTGAGACCACCAACAAGCCTCTTAGATATCAATCAACTAATAAAGGGACTCTACATTGACGATATTTTTTTTTTTTTTTTTGAGGCGATTGATGATATTCTTAATTTAATTTTATATTTGTTAGAAATATATGTCACAGTCACACAATCACATCGAGTTTAGGTTAGTTACTTAGAAAGTGTGCAATTACAAACCATCTCTCCAACCGAACACACACGAACCTAAATTCTGCGTATTTCTCACTCTCAGGTTGGAAGTTTGGCTACTACTCGTAGGATCTTGAATTTTTTTTTTCTTTTCTTTTTTTGACAAAGGATTAATTCATTCTCAAAGCAACATAATTCCATAGAAAGAGGCACAGTTTACAATTAGGACAACAACATAGAATTGGACCTCCAAAGCAAAGCAAGAAAAACCCAAACAAAGTTCTAGGCACAAAACAAAAGAGAAACCAGAAACTGAAACAAGCTCTGTCAAGTTGCTGCCTCCGCTGCTGTTAGAACGCCACCTACAAACCATCTCAAACCATCGCCCCCAACAGACATCTTAGATCAGGCCAAACAAAGTCTCCGAGCTGGATGAAGAGAAGACTCCAACATCCGTCAAAAAGCACCCTAGATCACCCCCATAAATCAATAGAAACCAATGGGAAGAACCAGTCTGTAAGTAGCAGTAACAGTGATATTGCCAACAAGGCAAAGAGATGGAAGGAGGTGGTGTGAACACCCGAGCTGAAACTTTACGCATCTTCCGAGGGAAAAGCGATAAATTGCGTTGAAGATTTGTGGGAGAAGATCCAAATGGTCGATGAAGGATTGAATCTATGAGGAAGGGTAGGGAATGGATTGTTGGAAAGCATGGAGGTGGAGCTAGGATATTGTCAACAAGGCAAAGAGATGGAAGGAAGGACTGCCACCGACCCTAGCCAGAGCTAAGATCAGCGACGGCAAAGGAAAAGCTTGACCGAAGGACACTCACACATGAGTGAGAAAAACTCTCGAGGAGAGAAAATGGCTCAGGTTCGAGTTTTTTCCTTGCATGTTTTGCTTTAAGGGAGGGGAAATTTTGACACACAACACACAAGATATGTGTCGAATGGTGTGTATAATCCCCAATGTTTTAAAAGATGCGCTCCTAGGCGCGCCTAGACAGCTTTGGAGGCGGGCCAGGAGTGATAACGCATCTGCCCAGTGGGAGTGGTCGAGGCGAGACGAGGTGGCTAAGGCGCGCCTAAAGGCAGTTGGTGGGCGTTCCCAATTCCATCTGCGACCCAAAATCAAAGTCAACTGCTTTGTTTTCAAGCTCTGCCATTTGGGTTTAGGTTGCAAGCTGTGCGGCGTCTTCACGAGGAAGACGACCACGAAGAAGAAGAGGGAATTTTTTTTTTTTAATGACTTGGTCCAAAATGACGTCGTTTTGGCCAAGTCTTTAATTTTTTTTAAATGACTTGGCCCAAAACGACGTCGTTTTGGCCAAGTCTGTTTTTCTTTTATTTTTAAAACCCCAAGAGTCCCTATTTCCTCTATTTTTCTTAGCAATCCTCTATTATTTAAGGTCCTGTAAGGCTTCGCCTCCCGCCTCACACCTAAGCTGGGCTATCCCTCAGACGCCTCGCCCACGCCTCATGCTTTTAATACATTGATAATCTCTTACCCAATGACCTTTTAACATAGTGGTCAAACTATGGACTAACTTAGTGACCAAGTTGCATATTCTCATCTATCTCCATAATATTGTAGAGTATATTCTCTAATGTGATAGTATTTTGCAACTAAGCCAGCAACTGTGCTGGAGGTTTCGCTCGTAAAATAACTCATGCGACAAATTCTAAGATGGTTGAAATTCTAGTTGCTCGGGATGGTGTTTGCTGGGCTCTACAACGGAATTGGCAGCTAGTAATCTTGGAGAGTGATGCACTACAGGTAGTCCAGGCCATTGGTAGTCTGAAGGGGAGTCCTTGCCTTTAGATTTGTTGGTCGATGATATTAAAGTAAGTTTGAGAGGCTTCGAATCCTTAAGAGTTTTTCATGTTCGTAAATTCACAATGTAGTGGCAAACCGTATGATCAAGTTGGCTTTGATTTCCAATTTTATTTATTGTTGATTTGAGAAACCTCCGAATTTGATCTAGGATGTCCTCTTAAAAGATTGTGTGCTTGCTCAACACCTTGAATAAAACCACTACCCTTTCTCTTAAAGAAAATAAATTATATTTTATTTATTAAGATAAATCCAAAGATTAATTATTAGGAGATCAACGACCCAAGATTGAGTGCATCCACCCATAATCAAATAGTTAATTAATAAATGAAAGATTTGTAAGATTGAGTGCGTCACCCATAATCAAATATTTAATTAATAAATCAAATATTGTAACAATATTCATGTAATTCTCTTCTAAATAAATCATACGCTTCAAGGGGATGTATTCAGTTGAGGTTTTGAGAGATTTTAATGAATTTATGAATCCATGATTTTTGATAAAGTTTAATGAATTTGTCGAGATTCCATGTAAAACTTTGATTAAATTCCGTCAAAATCTCAGGGAGGAGACATGAGATTTGTGAATGTTTAAAATATGCTAGGAAATAGGGTGTATTTTTGCTCACCACAATAAATTATGGTGTATGTTTACCATACACCTCATCATTTGACATGTGTCCTTTCAAATAATTATGGTTAATTTTTTTCAAAATTAGAAAAGGACATTTATTATTAAAGTTAACCATAGTTAGTTGAAAGGACACGTATCAGATGCTGAAGTGTATGGTGAGCATACATCATAATTAAGATGGTGAGCAAAAATACTCCCTAGGAAATATCTCCAATTCCCTCAAATTCATCAACTCTTTTGAAAAATTAAGGGGGGTGTATTCAATTGGGATTTTGAGAGATTTTAATGGATTTATAAATCGATGGATTTTTATGAAGTTTAACTGATTTGTAGAAATTCAATATAAAATTTTGATTCAATTCCCTCGAAATCTCATGGGAAGAGGTAAGATTTGTGGATGCTTAAAATACACTACAAAATCTCTCCAATTCCCTCTAATTCCTCAACTCTTCCAAATTCTTTAAATTCTAATTCTAATTCTAATTGAATATACCTGGAATGTTATAAACTTCTTTAAAATTCTAATTGAATACACCCGGATTTCTAAGGATTTTAACAAACTATCTTAAAATCCTGATTGAATACACATAGACTTTTAGAGAATCACTTAAAATCATGATTGAATACACATTGAATTTCAAAGAATCACTTAAAATCCTGATTGGCTACTCCTGAATTCATTAAAAGAATTAAAATCCCTTAAAATCTCAATTGAATACACCCCCTAATAAATTCTTAATTGAATACACCTAAAATGTTATAAACTTGTTTGAAATCCCAATTGAAAGTACCCATATTTCTAAGGATTTTAAAAACTTTCTTAAAATAGTTTCAAAAATCGGATGTATTCAATTAAGATTTTAATAAACTATCTTAAATCCTCATTGAATACACATTGAATTTTAGAGAATCACTTAAAATCCTAATTGAATACTCATGGATTTATTAGAAAATAAATAAAATCTCTCAGAATCCCAATTGAATTCACTCTCCTTAATTTGAAGTGCACCGTCAAACTCAAAAAAAATGCTATCTATATCAAAATTTTCATTACATTTATACTATATCTCTAATAGATATCAGATGCATGTGTTAGTGAGTTCTTCTTGTATTAGAGAGTTGGTACCGTAAGAAAAATGTGTTAACTTTTCGGGTCACTAAATGGGAATTTTCAAATATTTAAAACTTATTCAAAATAAAAATAAAAAACTTATTCATTGTAAGAAGGTACTGATAGAAACAAATTATACCCTATGATTAGCTTCCAATATGCAGTCATTGTGTCTCTCTTTGCAGAGGTGGGATACTTTGTTCATTCTTGAAAAAGTTTTGAGGATCAACCATGGTTTTCACACGAACCAATCTATCAAAATTACCTTTGAAATACTTGCTTCCATAAACTCTAGCACTTCCAAATTCAGTTTTGTTGTGTAGATTTGCGCCAATGTCGAGATCCCTGTAGTTTTGGAAGGCCTCTCTTGGACTCTTGGAGACATATGGAGTCATTCCTTCATACAATTTTCTTAAGAACTTAAGGTGTATTTTGGAAGTCACAGAGCTTTCTTCCACCCAATACGTCACGTACTGAATCTTAAACAGGTTTCCAGCTCTGTGAGGAAATGGAGTTTCCGACTCAGGAATTTTCGCCATTCTTCCACCGTACGGGTTCCATTGCATCAACACTTTGTCCATCTTAATCATCGCCTTCCATATGGATTCTATTCCCTCTTTTGGAATTGGTTCTTTCACATAGTCAGACTTACTTTTGAAGAAATTGGGTGGACCTTGTGGCCTACTACGTAAAACACTTATGGGAGTTCCGAATGGATGGTCAGCCCAAAACACAGTAGATTCTACCCAACTCATTTCGAAACAATCTTGCCGCTGCAAACCAAGTTCAGAAAAACTCTCATTTATCAATGAGACAAGCTTGTCCCTTTGTCCAAGAAAGAGACCAAAGAACGATACTTCCACGCTCTTCTTGCCTCGGTATTATTCTTGAGACGCGTAATTGCTCTGATGAAGATATCTTCAGGTAGCTTAGGTGCTACGTATTGCCATCGATAAATGACATTTATAGCATCTTGTTCTGGAGTCCTTTTAACATTGAACACAGTGACTTTGTCTGGAACTGGAAGTAGCTTGATTTTCCATGACAAAATGACACCAAAGCTTGCTCCACCTCCTTTAATGGCCCAAAAAAGATCTTCTCCCATAGGACTTTCTATCAAGAATCCTCCCCTTCACATCAACTAGTTGAGCATCTTCTATGTTATCAACGGTAAGGCCATATTTTCTCATCATTGGCCCGTACCCACCGCCACTAAAGTGACCGCCAATACCAACTGTTGGACACACCCCTGCTGGAAACCCATGAACGTTGCTTTTGTTTGCAATTTCATAATAAAGTTCACCTAAAGTTGCCCCAGCCTGAACCCAGGCGCTCTCATCCACCACATTAATATCAATCGCTCGAAGATTAAACATGTCAAGAATGACAAAGGGAACATCAGATACGTACGATAGACCCTCGTAGTCATGTCCCCCACTTCGTATCCTAATTTGCAGCCCGTGTTCTTTTGCGCAAATCACGGTTGCTTGGACATGGGATTTGTGCTTGGCGGCTACGATAGCCAAAGGTTTCGCAGTCGTAAGGGTCGAATATCGGCTGTTCCGAATGTATCCCAATAAAACAGATTGAAATGAGGTATTTTTATGGGTGTAAATGGTTTCAAAGATTGGGTAAGTGAAGTTTTGATGTTGTTTCGGAAGGCATTGGAGGAAGTTGGTGAGAAGTGGATCTGAAGTTGTGCATGATACTAAGAGCAAAAGGACTGAGAGAACGAATGCAACAGACATTGGTACCGTCATTTTACAACTAGTTTCTGGCTCTGCTGCTTCTTCCAATTCCTGCCCGCATTTATAATGAATTTAGCTGTAAAATACAGAAACGAAAAAAAAGGTCAAATGTTTAAGCATCTTCTTATCTTCTTTGGTGAGTAGTTATTTATTGCCCTAATTAAGTACACGCCCCAAATAACTTTACTTTCATAAAGTTGAACGGTTTCATGATTGGAAATAAATCTCATAATGTTATAAATAATTTTTTATTATGTGATTGTTTACTTTCTGGGTCAATATATAACATGTAATATATGATTAATTAAGACATATTTTGCTATATAAATTCTAAGGCTACAAATAAACACTCTAATGAGAAGGAAAATATTTGGATTCTCTTTGTCTGTATTTTACTTTCAACATGTTATGAGCACGATGACGGTCTTGAATAAAGAGAGAAGAAAATAACGTGCATAGTGCAAGATCAACCTTACATTACATGCTCATAGCCTCATACATATATTCTGACAAATCATAATTTTCCCCTTCCATCTCAAGCAGTTTTCCTACTGTTCTTTTATGATTTAATATCGTCCTTATTTTTTTTAGGGAATTGTTATTAACACTTCAAAATTTTCATTTAGCACTCCAAAATTTTTATAATTAGAAAGAAAAATATACATATAGGAGTGTAAAATAAGATTTTTAGAATGCTAATAATAATTCTTACATGATAATTTAGTATTGCTTGCAGATTAGTGGCATGCGCAGAAGGATTTGAAGCTAGCTAAAGGCCAATACTTGTTTGTGCGACTTGCACCATGTAATATCAATCCCTGATCGGGTGTTGTTATAATCATATTCAAAGTACTGCAGCATACTAATTAACAAAGAGAAAGAGGGGAAAAAAAGAAAAAAAAAAACAGAATCAAGATCATGAGGTAGTCTCTTACCGATACGTTTGTTTTATACAAAATCCATTATTCCAGAAACTCCCGTCTGCTGCTCCATTATAATAGCAGATATATGAAACAAAGAAAAAGACGAGAATATCAATGCTTTTGGAGGTTGCAACATGAATTGCATATCTATTCTTGCACCATGAGGAAGATCAAGTATATAAGGTCGTTTGATCTTCACATACGTTTTTCTATTAGTTATAGATGTTTTTTTTATTTTTTTTTTCATACGTCCGTTCATTGTAATATTAATTATATATTAAAAACATGATTTCAATTTACTTAATTGTATTATAACTAACTACACCAAAACCTACTTTTAATAGCATTTTTTTTCTTCTTATAAATGCTATTAAATAGTCCTTTTTCTCATTTAATAGCAGACAAAATCTTTTTTATAGTATTTACAGTATAAATGTGATTATAAAATGGGAAATTTTATTTGAATCCATCTAACCTCTTTCTACACCCAACTTAAATTCTAACTATGAATTGTCTATTTTATCCTAATGCATAATTATCATCAAGTACAAGATGAAATTAAAATTTATCAATAAACTCATACTCAATAATCAAGTTCTACCATCAAACAATCTTTATCCTACATTCATTTTGACTAAATTCCTAAGAGCTGCCATAAAACCCTACGATCACCTAATAATCAAATCATGTTGCTTTTCATTTCCTCTCTAGCTTCATGTTAACTCGATCAGTAAGAGCAATAATTACAAGCAATATCACCACAAGAAACAAAAGAGTCAGAAAACTTTCAAGACATCGAAATGTTTTCAATGTCATTACGAGTGCATGTTTAAAGTGTGAGTTCTCTTCTCGTTATTTATTCAGTTCTGCTTCCAGTTCAACTATGTATGCCTTACCTGTAAAAGCAGCATATTTCGCTCAAATGAAAATTGCTTGCCGTGATCCTTCAAGAAAACATAATGAGAAGTTCTATTGAAATTTACTTTCGCTAAGGTGTCCACATAATTTTACATGATTCAAATTCCAAAAGTACTAGTTCAACTGCTTGCCTACCAGCTACTGAATTGTTTAATCTTGAATTACAAATTCATCACTCAGTTCCACGAATCAGATTCAGGCTAGCTACTTGGACTACTCTATTAAGGGCTTGGTGAAGATCATTTCCTAACAACCTTGCACTCCAAACCGATGTTGCAAAAGTTTAAAAAACAAATTGATGTTGTTGATCAATTCATCTATAACAATTGGTTGCCATAACAAATTCTTAATTCTTCATTCACTCATTTGGGATTTTATTTTCTAAATGGGTGTAAAGATGAATTTTATATATTGAATTGAGTTTGTGAAGGTAGTTTAGATAGTAAATTTGGGTTTAAAGCGAGATTGATTCTTTAATTAAAAATAATATGGGTGTACAGAGTAAGTTAGATGTAGTAAAAGGTTGTATGTGTTCAAATAAAATTTCCCTTATAAAATAAATGGAAAGCAATTTGATCTTCCACGAAAGAATGACTCCAAAGCTTGCTTCATCATCTTCTCTAAGGCCATCTCCAACTGAAGGGTCCAGAGGGTCAGAGGGCCAAAAATAGCTCAAAAACCGTCTCCCACCGAGGGCTAGGCCAAATGGCTTATGGGCCTCACTTGACAACATTAAACAACATTAAATAACATTAAGTAACATGAAACAACATTAAACAATATTAAACAACATTAAATAACATTAAACAACATAAAAATTATATAACATAAAAAAAACATTTAACAACATGAAACTTAAACAACAGTTTTAAAAACATTTAACATAAAACTTAAACGCCTACTCCATACTTCTTTTGGCCCAAAAATGTGCAACGAGATCCTGTTGTAGGTACTTGTTTGTAGCACAGGAACTGACACACCCAGACCTAAATCGAGGCGTGGGCTCGGGCCAGGATGTGACAAGAATCATCATATAGCGCCTCATGTACTCATTTAAAAAAAATATTAAAAAATTCTCATTTTTTCTTATAAATTTAAGTTGTTGTAGTTTTTAAATTAAAATAATAAATTATATTTGGCCCTATGACCCTTTTGGCCCCCGGTTGGAGATGGTAAGAAATATGATCATGCACTGTTCATTAAAATATTAATTTCTTAAAGAGCCAGAGGGCTAGCCCTCCTTCGGTTGGAGATGGCCTAATGGCCCAAAACAAATCTTCTCCCACTAAATTTCAGTCAAGGATTTCACCATTCACATTATTAACTAGTCTAGCATCTTCAACATTATCCACTGTAAGCCCATATTTTCTCAACAAAGGACCATTTCCACAACCACCCAAGTGACCACCAATACCAACACTCGGACTATTAAGGGTACAAGTGTAATACAGTTAGAAATACAATTAGCAATACAGTTAATAAGGTTGTTAGTATTTGGTTAAAGTAGTTAAGATTTCTTTTATAAAAACAGTGTGTGTAATCTTCATTTGGTTAATTAATACGAATCATATTCTCTCTCTCTCTCTCTCTCTCTCTTCTCTCTCTCTCTCTCTCTCTCTAATATCCCTATGTTTATCCTTTTGTTAATCCTTTCTCCTTGATTTTCCCTTCAATTCCCAAACATTGCAATGTAGTTAACACGGACAAGATCCAGCTGCAACCCCATGAACCCTACTTTTCTTTCCAACTTCATAATAAAGTTCACCAACAGTAGCCCGACTGAACCCAAACTCTCCCTTCCGTCCCATTAACATCAATGGATCGGAGATTAAGCATGTCAAGAATGACAAAGGGGACATCCGATACGTATGATAGGCCCTCATAATCATGGCCATCACTTCGGATTCTAATCTCCAACCCATGTTGTTTTGCACAAATTACGGTTGCTTGCACACGGCGTTCGTGCTTGGCTGCTACAATAGCCAAGGGTTTTGGAGTTGCAAGCGTTGTGTATCTGCGGTTTTTAGCGAGTGCCAGCAAAACTTGTTGAAATGACGTAGTTTGTGGGGGTGTAAATGGCTTCCATGATAGGGTGGGTGGTGGACTGAAGCTTTTCTGCAAGTCATTGGAGGAAGTCAGTGAGAATTTATTGAGATTGTTCGGAAGCGGAACGGGGGTGTATTTGAGATGCACGGAAAGGAGTGAGACAACGTACCGTGCTACTACAGAGCAAAAGGAATGAGGGAATGAAGTGTATAATGTTGCACAGCTTTGTTCCTTCATTGTTTTGCAATTTTTTGTACTACAATTTTTTCTTCTTGAGTTCTTGAAAGCATAATGTTTCTTTTATTTTTCCTTTTGATGTGAAAGCGTAATGTTTCTGAGCAATTAATTACAAAGTATGTTGCAAAGAATAATAATACTGTTGTCACTTAGTACTACGCTCTACCGGTTTTTCTCTTCATAAGTGAGTGATTTTAGGTTGAATTATCGCCAAAAACAAATTTGAACTACATTATTGCAAGGCTATTGTGAGGCTAAATGCACTCACTTCCCTTTAATATAGATAATATTCTAAATAATATCGTTTGTTTAAAAATAACAAATACTGTTCCCTTTTAAAACTGTTTTCTTTTTATTCAAACCCATTAACTGAGACAAAAAAAAAGTAAAAAATAAAATAAAAACTGAGGCGTTGTTGCTCTGGCCATAAAAAGGGCAGTGGGTCTGCTGTCCCCAGTTTCATATCTTCTTTGTGTCTCTTGTTTGGTTTTTTGATACGCGTTGGAGCTGAGTCTTATATATATTTCTTGTATGATCCTATTTTAGTCTTCAGATTCTTTTTCTGGTCAGATTAGTCCACTGATTAGACCTTCATGATGTGCAATTTGGTTAAGTTTATCTGTTTTATTGTTTTAAATCGGATTTGATAATTTACTACAAAGTGAATCCGAAGAAGATCCTTTTGCCCCATTGAACTACAAATTGGCCTACTCCACCTTAACTCCTAAGACAAAGCAAGTCACTCTTGAAAATGAAAAGGTTTAGCCACACCCCCATGAAAATTCTTGACTCCACCCTATATATCAAATCCAATCTTGGGCTCCAAATGTTCATCCATATGAGGATTTAACTAGGGCAGGGACAACACCAACATATGAAGGTGATTTTACAGTTTGACATAGATAAATGGATTTGGATCTTATCCTGAGCTAATGGAGAGGATCCTCCTGATCAATCATCGTGAGCCGTTAGATTTTTATCCAACGGCTACAAACAGGGATCTCTTTAAAGTTATAATGATTGTAACCATTAGATAAAAATCCAACAGTCCACGATGATCGATCAGAAGGATCCTCTCCATTAGCTCAGGAGAGGATCCAAATCCTAGATAAATGGGCAAGTTTGGATGAATGTCATGTCATCAAAAGTTCACTTTGAAACTTTTCAAACTTACTCAAAACTTTAGAGTTAGCAGGTCATTGTTTGACCATATTTTGACTCAAATATAAGATTTTCAGTCCAAATTTTTCAATAGTAATTATTTTCGGTACTCTTCGTTAACTGAGAATTCAACTGTTTTGTAGCTTTTACCATATTTTGACTCAAATATAATGTTTGAGTCCAAATTTTTGGGTAGCAATTCTTTTAGTATTCTTGGTTATATTATATGAGAGTTCCAAACTGTTTTGTAGTTTTGACCATATTACTCAAAATTTAAGATCTGAGACAAATTTTTCGGTAGTAATTAATGGAACCGGATCCTCTTCGAATCCCAATAATTTGAGGCCAATGATTATTTGATTCAGACCGTTGAAATTTGATCTAAAGGCTTACAATTATTATAACTTTTAGAGGGCCCCTGTTTGTAGTCATTAGATCAAATTTCAACGATCCCGTATCATTTGATCCTTAAGCTCAGATTATTGAGATCCAGAGATGATTCGGTTCGGTAATCAATTATAGATGAGATGAGGAAAATACTAGAAAAGAAAACAATTCAATCTAAACAAATTTTCTTCAAAATGAATAATTGCCAATATATATATTCACTCTCAAAGTCTTAGCCAAATTGAAAATCACAAAGCAAAACCATACACATCAAAACATATATCAAATTACAGAATCACATTGATCCTCCAAAAGAATGAACTATCATCACTTTCTCTATCTCCTCAACCAATTATTGCCTCACTCTAAAAGAATAAGCTCTACTATGTATAATGCTCTCTCAAGCAATTTACTTGCATTGCAACCTTCTTTTGCAGTTCAACTCTCTTTCTCTCTCAGAATGTGGAGCACTTCTTGGCCTTGTACCGGTGCAGAACCCTCTTCTTCTTGCTCGAATTGTTCTCGATTGTCAGGACAACCTTCCCAGGTTCGTTGCTTCGGAAAGTGTTGCGAATCGGGCCTTCATTAGACCCCATTTTCTTCTTCTTCTGTACAATAATGGTGTATGACCCCTCATCAGTGGGAACAAACTCCTCCTTGTAATTCACTTCCCATCCCAAAACAGTCAAGTCCCACACTAATGTGTTATCAACCTGTTACCGAACACCATTTAAAATCAATGATTTGGTGAAAATGCTCATGAGGAAAAGCAATCTAACAGAACATGAATCAGTAACAATTTATTATTACTACCTCTGCTGCATCAATCTGTACGGTTCCAGTGGATCCGGCCTTGATGATAAGCTCCGAAACAGCGCCATCTTCGGCAGAGAACTCGCTGTCGTTGTCCCTCTTGAAGCCGCCATACTGAGCAGGAATCTCCTGAGCTGGAACGTACCTGTTGTGGACAATCACAGATCATTTGGGTAAGCTGGCTAAGATGCACCGTCGAATTCTCTTAGATTGTTGAGCACACATCCAGCCGCTAAATTCAGCAATGTGTAAAAGGAGACAAAAACCACTTACTTGAGAAGGGTTTCAGTGACCTTCGCCGGGCGAGCAACGACAAACTTGCTCTTGGTTCTTTGAGTCAAGAAAGGAGATAGCAAAGCATTGAGTGCATAGTACCAGAAAGGAACGTTTATGAAGATCTGCAAATCAAAAACCAAATAAAACCCATCAAATTATGTCCAATTTATGCAAAATAAACGAAAATAAAAACCGATTTCTAAAGCGAAAATGTGAAAGAAGGCTTACATTTTTGGCAACCAACTCAGGGTAGTTGTCCTGCAAAAGCCCAACAGCTTGCTTTGTGGCAATCCTGAGCTCCTTCTTCGAAGGCCCGGGCGAGTTCTTGAGGTCATTGATCTGAAGCAGAGAAGTGACACCACCAGGCCTCAAATCCAGCTTCTGGATGCTCTTCTCCATCAGCTGGAGCCTCCACCTCAGGAACTGCCCTCTCTTCTCCTCATTCCCAAAAGTCTTCCGATAAAGCTCCTCATTGTCGAAAACCCCAAAAATGTTGTAGCAAACGGGGTGGCCTTCGCGATCAACGCCGTTCAAGTAAGCAGCAGAGCTCAAATCAGCACAGACATCCTCGTCCAAGATCGAATCGATCTTCGACTCCTTCCTCCATTGAAGGGTTTTCTTCAGCATCTCGAAAGCCTCATTGACCTTGAACTCCCTAGCCCTCAAGAACTTTAAGAGCACAACATCAGTGCCCTCAAAACCCTTCCCAGGGAATAGGGGCACTCCCCAAAGAGAGATATCCGTGTCTACTACTTCATACCCATCTTCCGATTTCTTCTCTTGTTCGCCTTCTTCGGTTTTCTCTTCGGCTACTTCCTCTGTCTTTGTCTCACAAACCTCCTCTGCTTTTTCTTCATTCTTCTCTTCCTCCTCTGTTTTAACATCCTCAGTTTTTCCTACCTCCTCTGTTTTTTCTACCTCCTCCGTTTTCACTGCCTCCTCTGTTTTCTCTTCCTTCTTCTCTTCCTCCTCTGCTACTTTTTTCTCTTCCTTCTGCTCCTCCTTCTTCTTTGGCTCCTCCTTCTTGAAGATATTGTTGCCCAAAATGGCCTCCTCCAGCTTCGATTTCAGCTCGTTCAACGCCTTCTTCTCGAACTCCTTCAAATCGGAGAGATAGTTGCTCTCTTCCTTATAAGAAGAGCTCCTCTCAACCATTTTCGTCTTCGACTCCGCCTCTTCCACCTCCTTCACCTTATCATCTCCCTCAACAACCTTCTCATGCTCACACACAACCTTCTCCGCCTCCTCCTGAGGAACAACCACCACTTCAGCCACCTGGGTCTCCTCCACAGTCATCTTCTCGATCAACCCGAATAGCGAATCACCCGAGAAAATGCAAGAAAATCCCAGAAAACTAGAGAGAAAATTGGTTGCTCTGTTTGGGAAGAGAGAAAATTTGCTTGCACTCTGGTGCGAACTAGTGGCGTTTAAGAGAGGAGAGAGTTGTGGGCTTTTGCTTGGGTTGTAACGGCTATATATTTTCGAAAACTCCCCCAATGGGGGTGGCGGGACCCACAACGGTCACATATCTGTAAAGCCACCGCATAGGACGAGAGCCGTTGGCTGGCTTCTTCTACCGAGGGTGGGGGTTTTGATAGCCTGGATGCCAGCACAGATTTGGCGTTAAAGGAATCTCATTGGGACCCACTCCGTTCTCAGTTTTGCCAGTGGGGAATGATCGTGTGTGGTCAATCTTAAGTGCTTTTACTACATGTACAGCATTTCATTGGCTGGAGACAACACAAAGTTCGAAAACTGAGAAAGACTTTTTTTTTTCTTTGACTAATTCGTCAGGAGGACAGACATCACCTGGCAAATTGTTTTTAAAAAATTGTTTTTTCCTTTTGGTTTTTGTGGACAGGCTAGATTTGCCTTTCCTCAGTCGTTCAAATTTTAATAACCGCCATCGGGTTTTATTGTTTTGTTTTTTAACCAGCGATGTTATTGTTATTAATGTAATTTAAATTTATCATTAACGAGAACTGAATGTAAAATTTTTTACTTACAAGAAAAGAATAATATTATTGAACTGTAATATTAAACGGCAATAAGCGTCAGGTTTAACTCTTCATTTTCATATACCACTTTAAGAGAGAATTTCGATTGGTTGACAAAATCTTATTCTAAAATTTTATTATTTTGAATATTTTGATTGAAGAATAAAATATTAAGTTTTACCCTTAGTTTTATATTTTATTAAATTTTAATAACGAAAATTTATAATTCCTTCTAATTTTGGAACCAAATAGAGATTTTTAACTTTTTTTCTTCAAAATTGAAATGCGTGAAACCTCAAAAAAAACATATATCTGTACATTTTACATATAAAATAGTGGTACATTTTTATGAAAAAAATTGGTAGAGTATGAATATATGAATGGGTACAAATAAAAGATTAAAAAAAATTATAGGTAAAAATAAAAGTTCAAAAATATGGGTAAAAAAAAAAGAAATTAATAATTAAAACTAAAAAGAAAATTGGTACAAAAAAATTTGATTGCATATTAAAAAATGGCTACAAATATAAATATATTAAATGTAACGTTTCTAACACAAAATGGATGTAGTTGAAAATGGTTAAATAATTTTAAATTTTAATATGCTGACATGTAAACGCTTAATTATTGAAATAACTAGGTAGATATAAAAGCCAAAGAACCTTGATCAAAATTAAAAAGGAATAAGGTCATTATCCAAATAATTACTAAGAAGTGTAATGCTGACATTGCAGTGGAATGTATCTTGGAAGACATTTGGGCTCTTGCACAAAGTCTGACTTTGGTGGAGTTCATGTTCGTACCCAGAGAATGTAATCGTGCATCACACCAAGAAGCCAAACATGTTTAACGAGGGTTGTCCAGTGGAATTGTATTGGTCTGGATTTTCTATTTAACATTTTAGCGGAAGATGTATGCATTTCAATTCGATTATAATCAATAAACTCTACTCTTGGTAAAACAAAAATTCTTGATATGCACGCACGTATTTTGAATATTTTATTTTGTGTATTACAATTTTAACCCAATTATGTTTGTGTGTTACAATCTAGCCCTATTATATTTTGATAATTTTGTGTTGTCTTTTTTTTTAAGTGAGGGTTGTAGGGTATTAAAAACTTCATACTTTTTTTTTTGTCAAATGATAGATTTTATTAGATTATATATTAAATTAGTCACCGACAGGGTTCGGACCCACGTCGACATGTAAGGGTTTTACATCTTTTCACTACTGTGGTAAAGTGCCACTTACCACACACTCACGCGTGTAAAAATTCACTCTTTTACATAATTTTGTTTTGTTAGTTTGGATTTTCTTTTTTAATTAAATTGTTTTTAAATTTCTAATTAAAAAGGGATAATTTTGGATTATGGATGATTCACCGTTTTTGCCTCGTAGCTTTATCTATGTATATATAAAAAGAGCACACCAAAATTTTGAAACATTCAGATATTCCTAAATGCCTCACTTGATATAGAAGAACAAAAGTGCGCTACCCAAACAAAATAGGGACAAAATGGTAATTTTACATGTTACGAATCTTCAAACTCACCTTGTAGGTGATTAATTATTCTTCCTTTGTTTTCGAATTTTTAAATAAAAATATGTAATTAGATTTAGAACATAAATAAAAATTGACTTTTTGAAGAGAAAAAAAAAACCAATTACTAAATATTAAACGAATTGTAAAAGTTAATTGGCATAATGCTTTAGCATCATATTTTTGTGCGAATTAAGTATAAGAAAATGACAATATTCCAAGACTACAATCTTGATTGGTCCGTTTGTAATCATCATAACATCTCATATGATTAGATTTATGTTTTGTGTACTCCATTAATTTTTTATTCTTCCGTATTAAGGAAACGGATTAACGATTTTGACATTTGTACGATTAACATACGATAATTACAATTGAGTAAATAAGAAGGTGAACACATAAGATGGAAGCAAGTATTGTCCTTTAACATATCTGTCAGACTATTATTTGCGCATGCCGAATAATTGACTCAAAAACAATAATAAAAGAGGAAATCTTATCATCTGGCAAGCTATCATTGGTTGATGACGTCCACCACCTTGTGTTTACTTGGGCATTGCATGATTAGCTGGTTAAGCTGAAGCTGCATGTGGTAGATAATTTCGGTTAGGGTCATACGATTCCTCTAATTGATAATTAACCCTAATCTCATATAAATAATTAGTTTTGTTTGGAATCTTCAATTACCTAATCTCATACATTATACATGTTTAAGACTTCTTGAAGTGTAAGATATTGCGTAATTTGGATTAGCCGAGAGTAAGTGGGAAAGTAGGTTAGAAGAATTAGGCGAATACTTTTGGCACTCCATATTTTTGGTCTTCCAAGAGTGCAGACAATGATTACTTCGTTTCTTCGAACGACAAAGCAAGCAAATGGCGTTTTACCGTATTAGCAGAAAATGCATCCTGGTACAAGTTCGATCCTCACCCCCCGCCCTAACAAGTAACAATTTAACCCACCAACGCTATCTTTTGTCAAAAAAAAAAAAAAAAAAAAAAGAAACATAGAGCACATAACATTAATATAATTTTCTACATTGTTGAATACACCTTGATCACATACCCAATAAATCACTAAATTCACAATCTCAAATAATAGAGAAAAAATTAGCATACAAAATTTGAAGGTAACTCTCCCGAGTAGTTGAGTGCCGTTTCCTTCTTGCGCCGCGGCCGTGCTGTTTCGCGACACGAAAACACCCACCGGGAATCAGGAAACTCACCCGACACCCCCAACATGCTCCTGGATTCCACTGTACAACGTAATTTCCTTTTTCTCCTCATCTGCTCTTTTGAGTATTTTCAACATCCATGAACTGACCAGTTGCCCTGCTCAAGCACCACAATGAAACCGTCATCTCAGATCCCGACTCTTAACTTTCACAAATATGGTGAGGAGGGAGGGAGAATATACTTCAACATACCTATCGTAAGACAAAAAGGCGTCGCCTATGGTTCCGGCGACCTTATTTCGTACCTTCCGTACACAAACCTGAGTTACAAAGTTTGCAAATTGATATCAACATATATCGTTAATTACAACGACAATGACAACAACAAAAAAATAATGAACGTCAATGACCATGACAATACTCACTTGTACTTGATCCATCTCCCCAGCCTCTGGATCCCGATTACGATGAATTACAATTCCATTGTCGCATTTATTTATGAAGTGTGCACTTCCACTTATATCATAGAGATTAGGAGGACCCCCGGTCCACTGGTGCAACTGTTACAAGAGCTATGATCAGAGAAACCACATCAAAGAAAAAGGCATGGTCAAGCTCAACGTAACCAACCAACCTGTCTAGGATGCGCCACAAACCAAACATGGCAACAATGATGCTGAGCAAACCGTTTGATCTTAGTAAGCATCTGACTCACATACTCGGTTTCGGTCCTGTAACAAGTAGAAGTTTTAGTAATCTTGTAAGTAAAAGAAATAAGAAACATGGAATTAGGGCATATGCAGCTACAATACAAAGAATACTAAAGGCAGCATTAGCGGGCATGGTTAAGGGTTAGAACTAACAAAGTAATGCAGTAAAATTGTAACTAACGAAATTCAGGGATAAAATTGTGCTGGTTCATATGTAAAATAGCAACAAATAAATATGCAGCACACAACATGTAATGAAAAGACTAACTGGTTCGGGGGACGTTGATGATCAAGCTCATTGTAAGGATCAATTACAAGTCCACGCACCCCATGCCTAAGTACTGCTGCTTGTGCAAGATCAAGAACCCAACTGATATTTGGAAGAGAATCATCCTCACACCTATAACATGGCCGTAGGAGTAAATCAAAAGGGCACCATTTATGATCAGAAATCAGTTAAAGGAAACAAAGACTTCTACTCCATAAGGCCTGCGTACATGTTTATAAAACAGTGCACAACAGACACAATGATGCAATCTAGCCTTGCGGCGTGGCTCGCTTGGGAACACTAGCCTAAACAATAGAGTTGATAACAAAACTTACCTTATGAGGTAAAAGGTGTCATTTAACCATTTTTTTCCTTGCTCAAATTCTTCAACACTCATCCGTTCAGCAGAACCACCATAACTATAGTCAGCCAGAAATAAAAGACAGAGTCACAAAGTTAGATCCAATGAGTAGCAAAGTACAGTAGCACCAATTTTTAAAAACAATGGGGGCTTACAAAACTGTGAAAATCATAGGACTTGATCTTAAACTGATGAGTCGCAATAAAATTACAGGAAAAGGTAAAAGCACAAAGACTAAGGAAAGAATCAATAGTGTTGGACAATAATGCTTTTACGCACTACAGAAACAATCTCCTTACTATATCCTTGCATAGGTAGAAGTAAAATTTGAACACAGTCGAACTTATCATATCATAGATGTTATTTAATCATCGGCATGCATGCAAGATGTCTTGGTACTTTTTTCGCTTTACTGTTTTTTTCTTCTTCTTTGAGAGCAATGGGGTGTTCAAAATGGGACAGATTTTTAATCAGTTTAGTTTGGTGTTTGGCCTTACCAAACTGAAACTGAAAATTTTGTTTTTGAAAAAGGCAAACAATTGGTTTTCAGGAAATCCTTACTGATTATCGAGCTAAGCAGTAAATCAATTTTCATATTTAATACCATTTTGGTATGTTTCAAATATTATTATGTTTTCTGATAATATAAAAGGTGTGCCAATATAGTTTTCGGCTTCTGTCATAGCATACCCTTTTTCCAGCTTATTTCATATCATGCCCTTTTAATTAAATAATTCATAAAGGTAAAATAAACAGGAAAGGCATCAAATGCATTTTAAGAATGGTAATAAAGAAGGTCAACTCAATCTTACCGTTTATCAAAGAAAGGCTTCTTTATGTGCTTCTCCAGCAATTTTCGTGCATGCTCCCTAACCTATAAATCATTAATGAGAAGGGTGTGATATGTAAGACAGTTAACGGAGAGCAAAAATGCAACTATGTCATAAGAGAACATGGTAAAATTGATATGTGGATGACGTCTATATCACACAAGGCAGGGGGTAAAATAACCACCACAAAATCATGTCTAAGGTATATTCTCTCCCAAATCACAAGTGCTATGCACGTGTGCGAACATTTCTCATAATGATCCGCTGTAAACCAACTAACAAGGGAAGGGGTGCACATAGGAGAAAACAGAACAATTTAAACTCTTTGATAAACTAGTTTACCTTGTTCTCCATAGAGCAAAGTACAAATTTCCATCCAACGCTTGCAGATAGATTGCACAAGAGAGCATCAATCCACTCACTCTTGCCTGAATTAGGGACCCCTGTTACTATAGTCAACTCACCAGGAACAACCTAAAAATAAAAACATAAAAATTAGAAAAGTATGTATATCTACAACCAGTCGTACTCATCCAGATTTCAACAGATCAGAATACAAAAGAAGGAACCAGATGTAAAATATACTTTTGACAACTCATGATAACAATAACAACAACAAATGCATAAACTACTAAGGGCCCATTTGGAAATGTAGAAAAATCTTCTGCTCATAAGCGCATTTAATAGAAGTAAACTGAAATTTTTAATATCATCCAAGTGCTTCATGGTAAAGCACTTACGCAGTTTTTACTTTTTCTACCAAACATTTTCAGAAGTGTTCTTGGTTATCTGAAACTGCTTTTAGCTATTCTAAAAGCTCTTCCAAACAGGCGCCCTTAGCCATTGGTGCAGAGAAACAGTAACAAACCATCAGATCAGATCCAATAATTTGCTAAATTGTCAAACATTTATATACCTAGATCATATAAGGATATGTTGACAAAAAAAAAAGACCATACAAGGGTACAAATTTCGCTTAAATCTCCACTTGAGTGCTTTACCTTACAAAAATAATGTGTTAATTAACAGATCTGCATTGATACCCATAAATTAATACCTAGACCATATAAGGGGGAATCGACACACAACCAGAGGAATTATTCAAATTCAGAAAAGGTATTATTTGTCACCAGAAACGTCAAGGTTTTGCTTACATTGTACAAATCATTCAGATTTTTCCACCCAGTTGAGACACCATACTCATATCCAAGAGTCCGGTGATAATATGCATCGAGTTCATCAAAGTAATTCGCAAAATTGAACAATCCACGTATAGGAAATAATTCAGCATCCTCAATTACTCCCTTCAATACATCCGAACCCAAGTACATGAGAACCTGTGTAGATAAACAGTAAGAGATGGTAAGGATTGCTTTAGTGATCTAAGTAAAATATTAAAATACATCTTAAATGATACGATCTTTTTCAGTTCAATGGAAGGTGCAGGATACAGACCATCACACAAGATGATGCCGAGGTAACACATTACGTATATCATAAAGATGTACTATTATGTGAGGCAAAAAAACAGAATTCACTAGCATCAAATGGAGCATACATAGGAACATGCAACATGAAAAATCACTGTCATACCACAAATCAACTCAATAAGAAATATTTGAGCAAATGATCACATGAATGTGAGAATAGATATTTCAAATGTCAGAAACTAATCTAAGATCTTTGGTTTATCATTATATGTAATGATCCAACATATATATGTATTTGGAGATAATACTAAAAAGTCTAAATTAAGCTAAATCCAAATCATTGTATGCGCATTATCTCTGACCTCATTTGCATCTTTGAAGTTCTCCTTATCATTTTTCTTTGGCCATTTGACTCGCCAACATCTGCAGGCACATGGGTAGCGGACAATTATTCTTACGAAGCCTGCATAAAGATGATTTTAACTTAACCAACAGAGAACAGTAACAACAGGACATTATATTGGAAACCTTTCTCTTCCAAGGCGGCGTGCAAGCTCTTCAGCTAGGGCTTGACCAGGACCATCTCCATCAGTGGCAAGTACAATGCGAGATGCCTATCAAAATCAAAATCATTATAACCAAATATGTGAACCCCTGTGCCGATGTGTTTTCGATAATAGTAGTAAACTTATTTGCGAACCTTCTTTAAGTACTCTTTGCAGTTCCACAGATATTGATACTTTGTATCCTAGCTTTACAGAATAGACAAGATAAGCATTAGATCCTCCAAATTCCACAGATATTGAATAGCATTTAACTTTAACTTAATTCTTCAAATTAAATTAAGGGAAAAAAATCTCTAAATGGATTGTGGAGTGGTTCCCACATTGTTACATTTTGCAACAAGTCAAACGAACAAAAGTACAAAAAAAGTAATTTAACTATCTTAAGGTGATACAAACCTTCTCTTCAGGTGGCAACTCCTTTGAGGAAACCTTTGGAGGAGCACCATCAGGTACACTCACACAATTACAAAAGCCAGCTTCTTCCATTGAAAGCTTATCAATTTCGCCTTCAACCTAAATTATGAAATAAAACAAAAGAGTACATGTTGGGTGCAACACTAATGTTTGAAAGCATCAATCACTGAAAAAATGGTGGAAGCCATACAATGATGATATCATTAGTTCCCTTTATATCGTCCAGTCCATAGAAAATCTTTTCAGTATCCTTTTCCTGAGAAAAAAATCAAAGCATGAGATCCAAATGACAGTATTACAAACACTGTTTACACAAACCTAGAAAAAAAAAAAAATGGATAACATCCAAAAGTCGACCTGACAGGGCATCGTTAAACATCTGAGCAATGACATTGCCGCATTAGCAAATTTTATGTTATTTTTAATTCATTCAAATATGGGCCAGCGATGGACTTTATTTATTTTAACCAGTGAAATACTGACATGTATATCTAAAGAGGTTGTTTCATGATAAAGCCCACCACCACCAGGTCGCTTGCGGCACACCCTTATAATATATATTATGCTAATCATTTCAACCATTACTCGTTTAAACACTTGGGTTAGATTAAAAAAAAAAAAAAAAAAGGTATCACTTATTGCAACAACCTGCCAGAACTTCTTGTCGATGTCCCGATACTTGCAACTAACAAGCTTTCCGTCTCTCCGATAAGGAAAAGCAATAGCAATCTGCATGTGAAATTTCAGAAGCAATTAGGTAAGGAAAACTAATAATTGCATCACAGTCAAAGAGATTAAAGTGCAATATCTGCCCCAGGACATGAGATGATGGTTTTAGCTTGGTACAGATGAGAAAGACAAAGTTCATTTTGTTGTATTCCCCTAAGTTTTCTCAACTCATCTTATCGAGAATTATCGAAGCATCACTCTCTATTAAAGGGACAAGAAAACTTAAATGCAACTTTAGAAAGTTTGATGCCATAAGCATAACTTCATCCATCCACTGTTCTGAGATCCATATGCTTTGTATACAATAAATTTACGTCAACAAGGAAGATCTGGAACTACGTTACAACAATCCAATTTGTGAAATGTGACTTCTCAAATATCTTTTTGAGAACTTCTCAAATATTATAACCATAGGATGTAGTTAATTCACGATAAAATGCACAAAGGATTAAATTATGAATGAAAAGACAAATGTCATACATATGAAGGAAAATACCCTAGGCATTATGAACCATTCAGGTGTTTACGATTGATTCCACCGGGGATGGATTCAGTGAACTGTCTGATGTTTCAAAGTACTTCCCGAAAGATAGAAAACTTCACACTCACTTGTTTTGGGTTTTACATTAGGAAATTTAATGCATAATACTTAAGGAACCTAAAGCCAAAATAGATAACCAAATGAGGATTTATTACTTCATGTTTACTAATAAAACTTCTGCTGCCATTTCATCTGTGCAGTTTTTTAACTCTTGATGGCTACAGGTGAAAAGTAGGATACTTCTAGAGTGTAGTAACCTAGATATTTGTAATACTCACAGAAACATATTTTTCTAATTTACACAACTAAGATCATGACCATCTTAATATGAAGATGAAAAATTAATAATCCTTTTCCATTAGCGTCATGCACCTGATCACCTGTACTTTTTTGCATTACAGCATTTCTCATCAATGTTCCCCTTGATATCATTCGTTCTGAAAAATAATCTACAATCTGAAACAAGGGCAAAAGAAAATATATTCACCATGTTGAATAAGGAAAACGAAAACATAACTTTACTAATAATAGTTCTATTCTTAGTGTCACAATCCAGTACAAGAAGAACTCAAACTTCAGAAAAGAGTAACAAGCTTTGACCTCCTCACAAAGTGGTTCCAGTCCTAGACTTTCCTCTGTGATTTCCCTTTTTTTCTTAAGTTTTGAAGTTTCAGGTGGCAACCTGTTTCCTACAAACGCCTGCAAGAAAGGGGTGACCGTCAGCCAAGTGACTCTCTTTCATTATTTTTTAATAAAATATTATAATGTGATGGCAATGTAGTATAAATGAAGATTGGAAGAGAAGCAAGCATACCCTCGTGCTACCTGTCCACCCACATTTTCCACGAAAGCAACACCAAATAGCACGATCCCTAAAACATCATAAATTTCAATGTAAAGTGTGACTTGCAATCTGTTAATAAATAATCAGAAAAACTTGTAAAACACTAGGAAAAGCATACCAATTTTCCGAAATATCCATGGATAAGCTCTTTTCCTCTGAATCGCCACCTTTGCACTAGCGTATGAGAAGTCATTTCAATTTCAGTCACATATAATTCCTTCTTTTACTCATTTAAAAGAAAACCATGCATGCACAGTTTAAGGCAGTCTCATTACATCATGGCCACTCAATCCCCTGAGTTTCTATCGTTTAATTGCTAAAACAATGGAAATTTTCCGCTATCAGCTTAATCTCCTTCAATGAAATTTTCCATCTTTTTGGCATGATTCACTCTTAAATGCGTCTCCAGCCCTTAGATGGAGAAATGTCATCAGAGATTCTCTTTGATGTTCTCAAAAGTCATTGGTTTTTTTTACATGATAATTTTCTTGACCAAGACACATCGTCAAGAAAGTAATTATTTTGGGCAAAAGATAATGCCAACTACTGTCAATAACTACCGTGAATCCTTCATGTCTCCTTCAGGTCGAGTCTGCTCATACTAACACTATTGATTAAAAACAATACTGATAACTTAATTTATTACTATATACAATAGCGTTTACCTGCTTATTATCCATATGAAAATTGCTTTTTTTTTCTCCCAAAACTAGTTTCTAAACCTATAATAACGAACAAAAATGGGACATGCACGTAGGTTTTGACAATTACCACCTACAGATTCAGTAATTTATAAAATCCTAAACAAACAAAGTCAAAAAATATTTGCTGAAACAAATACAACATAGCGGCAGAAGCAAAACTATTAGCATACCATTGGGCAAATCAAGTGGTTGTACTGCCCTGGTACAGATATTGTTTCACCGTCTATGCCAAGATTCTCCAATTTCTCCTTCAAGATCCTCATTTGCATAGAGGACATTCCATTTTCTTTTGGGGCTTCCACTTCAACTACATAGAATTCAAAAGCATACAGCACATTAAATTCAAAACATTCTCATAATCCTTCACACACACAAAAAGGGTCCACCTGTAAACACCATAGAAAAGAAAAATTAACAAAACAAAAGTTTATTCGAAAAAACACCCCGACAACTAAAATTTTATAGAAAAACACTTCTAAGCAACTCAAATGGAGAAAAGAAAAACACCCTTATCTATCCGCTTGTGATGCTCTAACTGATTCTCAGGTGGTGAAACTCTTTGGTGCTATAAAGTAGATTGGATTTTTCTCTAAAGTACTAACTTTGAAGTGTTTTCCTTCTAAAATGTGATGTTATCAAGGACTTACATGCAAAAAGCCAAAAAATTAAAGCAGAAAATTGCCTACCTTCTTTACTGAGCACAAATTTACGCAGAAACTTACCTGGTTCTGCGACATGGGCAGGGGAGAGAGAAGAATATCCGTTAGTCCGGAGGCAAAGCGGCCGAATTTTCAACACGGGTTTCGAGGAAATCGGAGAGAAGACGAGGCTGCGGGAGTGGAAGGGGTGTCTGTGTGCAGAAGGGGTTAGTGGGTTCGGAAAAGGAGCGGACTTGAGCAGCTGCTTGGAGGCCATTAGGTGGCCGGAGGTTGAGGAGGATAAGAAGGAGAGCTTGCGGAAAGGCCGATGGAGAAGAAGACGCATGTCTCCGGGAACTGGGTTCCGAGTCTTGTTTATGGGGTTTCAACTCGGCTGGGTTTCCATGGCGGAAGAAGAGGAGGGAAGAGGGTAAGGTTTTCGACACTTGGGTCACAACACATAGAAGGGTTTTAGAGGTCTCGGTCGGGTTCTTCTCTTAAATCTCAACCATGACCCGGACCCAAATGCCTACCCGTATCCGACCCATGTCAAATGACCGGACCGGCCCACCCAAGAGCGTCGCGGCTTTTCTTTCTTTTCGTTTAGTCATTCATGTATGTAAAACAAATTGACGATTCATGAAAACACTTATAGCTCGGTCACTAATTTGTAAATGAAATAAAGAGTTTAATTTCTTATTTAGCTCTGTTTTGATTCCTCCAACTCTATTGATTTTGATTAACATGTTATAAGTGTTTGACACATTGTTTGCACCGTGAAAATTTACTAATTACAAATTAGTGGACAAGGAGGTGCACCCTAGAGTGGATGCAAATACTATCTTTAAACTTGAGCTGTGATACACATCCCCAAAGCCTGCTGGCAACTCATGGAACGAGTGCACTAGATCACCTAGATCACCATTCCTCCACTTTGCAAAGGTCAGTAGTTTAATTCTTAATTATACGAATCTTAATTACCATCGTAAACAGAAGTTTGCTGGGTATCGTATGAATCCTAGTGCACAATAGGTTAGATTAAGCTCTTTCCTATCAGCACAATGGAAGATTGGTATGAGGCAGGTACTTTTGTTCTCATGGCATTTGTAAACCAGCTGACATTATTCCAATTCTTTGTCTTAATATTCTTCTAATCATGCATTAAAACCTGCGCTTGTTAGCAGCGGCGGAATCACTCCCTCTCTCTCTCTCTCTCTCTCTCGCGCAGGCGGCGGCCCTCTTTTCTTCCTCCGCTGGCATGAAGAAAGGGTCCATTTCACTACCTCCTCTTGTCAGAATTCCACTCTCCCTCACTCGGTCTCTCTCTCTCTCTCTCCCCCCTCCCACTCCATCTCGAGTTTCTTCTCTCTCCTCCCTCCTCCCTCACGCTCTCTCTCCGCTGTCACTGTGCACAGACGGTGCACAACTTTCCCGGCCACCATGGCCCAAACCAAGGACACCACCAGCTTCATCTCGATCTCACAAGCCATGAACTCCCAGCCTCCCCTCGAACATCCTTCCCGATCGTTGGGATCGAACAGCCAGCCTCGACCATTTTCCGGCGAGCTTTTTCGCACTAAACGGCGAGCTACGAAGGCAGCGCAGTTAAGCCGCAAAGGATTCCGGCTACAACCTGCAGAAACCGGTGAGTTTTCTGCATTTTGGCTCAGACCGGTTAGATCGAGTCGTCCGGTCGGACCGTTTCTGGTGCTTCATTGGACCGGGTAGGACCGCTCGACCGGGTTTGGACCGGGGTCGGACCGCTGAACCGGGTTTGGACCGGGGTCGGACCGCTAGACCGGGTTTGGACCGGGTCGGACCGCTAGACCGGGTTGGACCGCTCGACCGGGTTGGACCGCTCGACCGGGTTTGGACCGGGTCGGACCGCTAGACCGGGTTGGACCGCTCGACCGGGTTTGGACCGGGTCGGACCGCTGAACCGGGTTTGGACCGGGCGGACCAATAGACCGGGTTTGGACCGGGTCGGACCGCTAGACCGGATTTGGACCGCTCGAACAGACCGGTTTGGACCAACTCGACCGTTCCAGATCGACTGAAGCGACCACCATGATAAGCCGACGTGAACGGAAACTAAAACTTGTGAGATGCAACAAACTCAACTCTGAATATAACGTGTACCTTTTTACCAATCTGGAAATCGAAACGAAAGAAGATGACCGACCGACGAGATTAAAACCCTTGTTTTAAACTCCTTAATTTGAAAAAAAAATTCTTGATCAGTATTATCAAAATTGACGAACACAAAATGCAGAAAATAAACCACCAAAAACCACAAGTTATTTTCTTGTTATCTTACGGAATGGGGGGAGGGTCTACAAAAGCCAGCTGAAGAAAACACACAAGCTTGCGGCATGGATTCACGGTTTAGTTACAGAAAGTTTTATGAAATTAACACGTAATCAGGAAGCTATCTGAATCATGTACCTCTCAATCTCAGATATATGGCCAACCCAAAACTAGTATATCTCGTCGTCGGGGACGTCTGGTGTCAAAAATTTTCTTGGATCTTTACTAATTTCCTCGTAACTCATTCGCGGCTTCACCTTGTCTGGGACAGGCACCAGAGGAATAATGCTATCTCCGTCAATTACTCCATCGATTATTCCATACTCAACTGCTTCTATGGGGGACATATACCGATCCCTGTCAATATCCTTTTGGACTTGCTCAAATGGGCGACCGGTGGAATTTGAAAGAATTTGTGTAACGTTGTTTTTGTTATGCATCACTTCTCGGGCTTGAATTTCCACATCTATTGCCTGCCCACTAGCGCCTCCAAGAGGTTGATGAATCATGATCCGTGTATTCGGCATTGCAAAACGCTTGCCCTTGGTTCCACCGCCAAGGATTATGGACGCTGTTGATGCTGCAATGCCCAGTGCCACTGTGGAGACATCAGCCCTCACGAGCTGAACAACGTCGTAGATAGCCATTGTAGCACTAACACAAATAACAAAAAGGAAAATCAGCAAGCAGATAAGAAGACAGCAAACCATACAAACATATACAGAAGAATACATCAATGAAAAATACGTTCGGTAATTGAGATTGTGAACAAAGTGATTGCGATTGTATCAACGAAACATTAGATAAAAGTTGGAAGAATACATCAATGTGAACAAAGTGATTGAGATTGTACTCGATGGGACAATACATAAATGAAAAGTTAGTTTTTTTAATCAATAACCAAACAGGCAAAATCCCATCTTTCTTGAAAAATAAAAGAAAAGCCACTTTTTTTATATGTTAAAAGAAGAAATAAAACAAATAGTCCAGTGATCTTGTTTTGGCTGAAGTACCATAACAAATAATAAAGACGCATGAACTACCGGCTAAAATCAGATTTCTATAACTAACATGCTTAATCTCATAACTCAACAGATTCAACAGCCCCCTAAATTTGCATAAGTTCATAACTAAAGAGAAATGGTATGTCTCTAAACTCTAGAAACCAATGCCCATTGGTGGGCATCCCAAAAGCACACCCAAATCCACAAGAAGCACAATAGTTTCGATAAATAGATAAATACAGGATGCCAAAGCACACAACACAACCTTGCCTCCCTAGAAAGCTATGCCAAATATCAATGCAAGTAGACATTGGAGGATTAAAAGTTTAATACGCTCAGCCTTACCCGCGTCCTTGCACATGATTCACCAAGAAATTGATATTACCTACAATAGACTTTCTCCCCTACCTACTATCACAAGTACTAAGACTTCCATGAGAGACTGTCAAGACTTTGTTGACAGCTCTCCACACTCAGCTGATTTTCCGATTTTATTATGTCCACCACTCACATGGAAGCGAAGCATTTAACATATAACTAGTACTGTTACTTGACTATTAGGAGACAAAATAACTAGCATCAATAAGGAATGTTGCAATAGGAACATAAAGAAATAATGTGGGAGTGTGCATTATGCGTGTCACCGGTTCCTCACCAACGGGGAACTCCCTTGCCTCACAACCGCATCTTAAGCTATATCAAAGTCAACATGCTTTGTACTTAACCTAACCCCAAAGATTTGGCCATTCTCTATGCTCATATATTCATCCAGCACCATGCCTTTTAAGTTTCCATTGCACAGGAAAAAAAACCTTCAAAATCAATTGTTCTTATCTCGTCCTAAGGAAAAAGCTACACAAAGTAAACTAAATACTAAGCCCTTCGAACACCCGAATTTCAAATCAATTAAGAACTACAAAATCTAATCAAACAACATCCTAATCTCAAAGGGGTCACCTCCCCCACTCAAAATCTCCACAACAAAATTGAAAATTTCACTACTTTCAAACAAAAATCAGCACAAAATAAAAGCTACCCAGATGCTAAAAACCATGTACAACCTGAGAGAGCCGCCGGTGGAGTTAATGAAGAGCTTGATATCCTTCTTAGAATCCTGGGCATCCAACAAAAGCAGCTGGCTAATAATGGCGTCGGCCACAAAGTCGTCAATGCTACTACCCAAGAACACAATCCTCTCCCTGAGCAAAAGCCCCATGGCGTCACCCTCGGCGCCTCTCATGGCGGTGGCCGGCGTCTGAGGAGCCGAGGAAATAAGGAGCGAGCCGTCGAGGGCCTGGGACCTGGAGGTGAAAGTGGGTTTTGGGGTTTGGAGGGAAAGAGATTTGATTGAGGGGGTTTTGGGGGAAGAAGTGGGGAAGTAGGAGGTGGGTTTGGGGCGGGAGGAGTGAGAGAGCTTGGAGGTTGGGGTGGGGTGGAATATAGGGGATGCGATTGAGAGAACGTCCATGGGTGCTTGCTCAGTTGGGAGCTGTGATGGCAGGGAAAAAGAATTGGGCGTTTGGATACTCGTTAGGGGAAATGAGACAAGGTCTTAGAAGACGAACCCATTTCGATCCCCTGGGTTTTATTTATATTTTGTTGTAAAAGTTGTGAGAGTGAAGCCACAAGTTTTTAGACAAAGATGAGGAAGATTTTTAGAATAGTGATCATGTTGTTGTTGTATAAGGTCTTTCAAAAAGCATTCATTTCACTTTTGTAAGTTTTCACGGGTGTGACTCTATTTAAAGAGTACTATGTGTGTGATCATAACACATAGCAAAAGAAAAGAAAAGAAAAAAAAGCAATAATATTAATATTCCTATCTTCCTCTCTTTACCAGCAATCCTTTTGTGTTAGAGTTACAAAACTAAACAGTGTGATACATTACACCTGTTTCGCTCATATCCGTAGCAAATGTTACATCTCTAACTTTTGCCTATTTATAACATATTTGGCTTTTTAGCCAAAATGTTTTTTTTTTAAAAAAATTGGTATAACTCGTTACTGTGTCTGACAATAAAAATTAATAAAAGTGATTTATAAGTTTTTTCACTATAATTCACTTTGGTGATCTGTCAATATCTTCGGTAAGTGAAGGGCTAGGGCAATTGTGCTTTAACCAACAAATCTTCACGCTTTGCGAGAATTGAGGAAACGTCTATCGTATGCAGCTTTACACGTACTTTGTAAAGAGATTATTTTCATGACTCGAACCCGTGACCTTGTGGCTACAAAAGAGCAACATTTTTGTTGAGTCAAGGCTCACCCTCAACAATTACCAATAACGTTTTGACATAATAAGTATGTCTTAATTGTAAAAAGGTTACTGTGGTGATATAATAGTTAGAAAATAGTCATATGATTAAAATAAAACAAAAATATGTTTCAAATCCTTATGGTAACGACTCTTATGGCGTGTTTACCAATCGGGAGTGGAATGGAGAGAAACGGAATTGAATTCCGCTTGAAGCATTCTGCCGTTTACTAGCACTTAGGAAATCAAATTTTATGTGGGGTCCATCCAATTTTAGGAGTTCAATTCCGGATTTCCCCGGAATTGGATTACCTATGTAGAGGTGGTAATTGAATTCCGGGTAGATGACTCCATCAAGAATCAAAGTTTTCTACCCAAAATAGCCATGTATATTCCTAAAACAACTCCTACCTTCATCAATCACTCCCCTTTGTATTTGTTTCTCTCACAGCTAAGATCAACCCACCTTCGCAACATGAAATGATGTCGTAGCACTGAACGACAAACGTTGCCATTTGGAACAACGATCGTCCGGGGTTTAACATGGCACCACAACGATGAACATGATCTGGAACAACGAACGCCCAAATCCTCAAGGAAATTATGATTTGCAAACCCATATAGAAGAGAAGGAAAGAACTTTTCACTTTCACCCTAAAAATTGGATTTTTTTTTTTTTTTTTTGGTTGATGGGGTGGGTCGTGGCTTTGTGGTTCCTCTAGAGATTGGATGGTGGGGTGTGGATACTGCTTACTTGGGAAAGAAAGGGGTTACAGACGAAGATTGGAGAAAGAAAGGGGGAAGAGAGAAGGAAGTAAAATTTTATTTTAGTTTACTTGAGATGAAGGGGCTGGGAAAAAAAGGCTTGAGATGAAGGAGGAGAAATGGCTTTGGAAATAACGATCTTATAAAAAGTTTTGGAAATAATGATCTCATAAAAAGCTTTGTTTATGGATATATTTAATTAGATAAACTTAATTTTTAATAATTATAGCATAAAAATAATTTATTTTAAACGAGGGTAATTTAGTAATCAAGTTAGTTTTGATTCCGATTTTAGTGAATTAGTAAACAATATATATGGAACTAATATCATTTGTATTCCGATTCTAGTAAGTTTAGGAAACAACTTTAACATAAATCTAATTATGTTTCCTCCTTAATCCAATTCATCCTCAATTCAATTCCCTTCAATCTGATTACAGATTAGTAAACGCGCCCTTAGTAGTTTACCTCAAAAGTTAGATTTTCATCAAAATCTGCTCGCATCTTAACATATTTTAATGAAATTCTCATTTTTGGACAAAATTACTAATGTTCTTTTCGATAGTTAAAAACTGTAGGTAAATCACACTTGGTTCTTAATGCTATAAACCCTAAATCCGGAACTGTCAACAATTCTTAACCAAACAGCTGCACCACTTGATTTTAATAAACGTAAAATTATCATGGACAATATATTACTTACCTTACAAGAAAAAAATATACTCTCATTATCTCCAAGTTTTGAGATGAGAGTCATGAGACATTAGTCAATGTCTCTTAAAAATATAATGAACATGTAGAAAAAGAGACAGGTGTTTGTCACAATAGAGAGCACTTCAAATTCAGCTTGAAAAACGAAAACGAAAACTAACTAAACTTAGGCAACTAACTAAACCCATTATAGTTTATTACACAAATGAAACATCCGGTCTTACAGTTCTAGAATGGCTCTTGCATAAAACAAATGAAACATCGTCCGCTCTCAAAAGTTGGCGTACCAAATTAGTGTCTCTAGTACTTTTTTAGTTGGTCAATCTAGTATTAGTTATCTCAATTACTACGTCGACACGTCATGAGTTCGATTATTGGCGCTGCAGCGCTGGTGAATCACACGATGGTGATCAAGGAGAAGCAAAATGTCTCTATGAATTTTTCCGACTCCCAAAATTATAGATTGTCATGGCCCTTTTTTAATTTAAGGAAAAGAAATTTGTGCGGCGACTACTAAAAACCGTTTTGCATTGTAAGCCCCAAATTAATAACCATTTTGCAGGCACAACATTACACCACAACAATACTATATAGCGAGTCACATGTGTATATCTTTTAGCTAGTAATCCAAACCCAACTCTACATCTCTCATGATATATAACAGTTTCAGAATTTCTGCTCAATCAGTTTTGATTAACGGATAGTAATTGTCTAATTGACAAAACACTAATTAACATTGGAGTTACGTTGAGAATTAATTTACAAGATTAATTGTGACAAATTAATTAATTAATAATTTAATTATATTAGTGAATTACTGATCAATAGCTAGCCGCCAACGAGGAGTCATGAGTAACCGACGGTTATACACAGCAAACCCTAGAAATGGAAGGGTGAGGGTGTGTGCTACTAAATAGGAGATTATTAGGAGGTGGTGGTTATGGTATCATCCATGATCATTGAGATCACCTCCTTTATCTGCGCCACAAGTAACGAAACCAAAAACTGCCCACCTTCCCCCGCATCTCTCTCGATCTCTTTCTTCTTTCTTCCTCTCTCTTTCCTTGTAGATTGGACTACTTAATTAGCATAAGTTAGCAGGCAGGCTGCTGTTACTTGTTCAGTTAATTTGTAAGCTTAATCTGATAAGGTTTGTTAATTAGCACTAATCTTTAGGTCTAACTCAGGTCCACAGACACAAGAAAATCTAATTCTCTCAGGTATCTCTCTCTCTCTCTCTCTCTCTCTATGTCTTAAGCTTTTCAAATCTTGTTTTAGTTATCTCTCTCTTTCCTCTTTCAAGGGTCTTTTTCTATAGCATTGCTGGTCTTTTAGCAATTAATCAGTTAACTATTAACTATAATTAACTGTTCGTGCAGGTTTTGCAATTTTCATGGTTATGAGTACTGCTACTTTTTGCCCTACTGATGACTGGGGGTCTGTTCAGCTTCTCAACCCACCAGAAATGAATATGCTTAGCTTCCCATCACAACAAGAGCTGCAGGCAGCTTCGTCGGGCATTTTCGGTCTGCAGGATTACTACTATAGCTTAGCTAACATTAATCCAGACGACACCTGCATAGATCCACTCTTCCAGCCATACGAGTCCTCCGAAAATTTTTTCCACCCCGATTTTAGTTCTCCAACAGATAACATGAATTTAGCCTCACTGTCGCCGGAAATCTGTCCAACCCTAGATGAATATGACTACTCCTACCAGGCCTACCCAAAACGCCAAAAGCTCTTCCATGATCAACAAGTCCAATATTGCAATTCAAACTTCCCGATCGCCACTCCCAATTATTTCAATGCATATGATCGGTTCCTCCAGCCTGAAATTTTGGTTCCAACCCCTGAAATTCAAATTCAGAATCCGCCTGCGGCTGCCAAGCTTAACAATAAGGCCGTCAGTGGTACTGGAACTGTGTCACCGCAGAGCATAGCTGCGCGCGAGAGGAGGAGGAGGATAACGGATAAGACTCAGGAGCTTGGGAGGTTGATTCCTGGTGCCACAAAGATGAACACCGCTGAAATGTTGCAAGCTGCGTACAAGTATGTCAAGTTCTTGCGGGCACAAGTTTCAGTTCTCAAACTCATGACGGACTCTCCAATTCAGCAGGTACTATTTCATCTGTGTGTGTGTGTGTGTGTGTGTGTGTAAATGGTTTAATATTTTGCAACCAAGTTAGATGAATTTAGGGCAGAATATAATAATTCTTTTTTTTATTTATTGATTTAATGTATACATTTTAATTTGAAATTGTACGTTTAAGCAGGAAAGGAAGGAAGAAGGGTTGCATATTAATCAAGAGCGTCTCCAAATTGTTGCATCCCCAATTGTTCAAGAGAAGCTCTACTCTGAAGAGAAGTGCTTAGTTTTGAAGGAGTTTGTTGAAGTGCTGGCAAAAGATGATGACATCCAATCCAAACCCTTGCTCAAAGACAAATTTGCTGAGTTGCTGCAAACCAACGGCTGACAATTACAAGAGTCACAGCTAGACACTGATTTGTTTATTGATTTGTTGTTGTTCCTTTAACTGTATTATCTAATTAATTCCTAGTTAGCTAGTTAACATTTTTGTAGGGTGCTAATCTAACCAATTTCTTGTCAATTTCTAATTTTCAAGAAATATATTGGCGTTATGTACGATTTTCTGGTGATTATTGTGTAACTCACCGCATCCACCTTTTAATAAACAAAAATTATTACAATTTTGTTCTTTATATAAATTTTGAATTGATGGGTTATATAATGGTAATAGCACTGAAAAAATGTCAGGAGCCTCTTATACTAGCACTCGAAATTAGTAAATTAGTCATACATACTGCAATTGCACTCAACACCGATAAGTTTTATCCAACTGAGTTCAAGTACAAATTACATAAGCATCTTAATTGATATATGGAGGCCATCCTGAATAAGTCATTAGATCCTCAAACCAAACTAAGTAAATTACAAATCGAAAGTGCAAACTTTGTTGGACGATTGTGCCACTCCATTGCAAAGAACTCATTGCCAGTACTTGAAAAGCCAACACTTGTAATATTAATATACCAGGCTTTGGTGAGACTTATTCCAACATGCAATCCCCATCAGAGACTCACGTTTGCCACATCATTTGTGATGATATGATATTCTATCTACTTGAGTATTTACATACTTAAGGGAAGTATTGTAGTTAAAATTATAGCACATGTGTGATTATATAAACCCTAGTAGATTATGTTTGAAAACCTTATGAGATCTAGAAAATCTTTGTATTACTTAGAGAGCTAGTTTTCTTCCTTCCTTATTAATATAGATAAAAGCACAAAATATAAGTCTATGCCGATTTTCCTCTCTTCCCTCTCTAAATTTATGCCACAACAAGAAGAATGATTTTCTTTTAGATGATTTTTTTTTGTTTGTTAAATGATAGATTTGTTAGATTAGAGAACCAGCAGGGTTTGAATTCAAATCATGATGTAAGAGAAACACTACTCTCTACCACTGTGGTAGAAAACCATTTGCAAAAATAAATGAAATGCTAAATGAAAAAATTGCGTCAGCCGGAAGTCGATGAGATGATCTTTGGATTGTGTACTTAATTTCGGGATTGGAATTATGGAATAGATTACAGATTATACAAGTACTTTTTGTACAAAAAAATAAAAATAAAAAATGGAAGTCGGAAACTTTTTGCCAATTAAACTGCTCTTTATAGTCCGAGTGCATGTGGTTACCAAGGATAACTTTCAACGTGATAAAATAGACTCCCCCACTTTCTTTCTTGCCAACCGTTTGAACTCAGTTTAAAATTAACCATCTCAAGAGAATCAACACAAACTTCTCCATGGCCTCCATTTCTGCAACCTCCGTTCTCCTCTTCCTCACATTTTCCGCCTCACTTTCGGCAGCTCTATCTGCTTCCGTCATAGAAGACCTCAGGAACTTAAAACCACCGCATGATTTTAACTCCACGATCACGAAAAACTGCCATCACAACCCATCACTCAGATACTGCAGTTCCCTACCTATGGACCTTGATGAGATTTTCAAATCCACCATTGTTGCAAGCCATCTCTGCAACGAGTCCAAGAATCCAAACTGCATCGAATCATTCCCTAAAATAGACCTTCAAAACCGCCCAAAGATCACGCCGCTCTACTTGTCATTCAACTTCTTTTGGAAGTATTGCCCTTTGAGCATCTTAACTATTGACTTATCCAACAGTTCTTTAGAGAGCAATTTTCCCATTGATGTTCTTCAATGCACCCAAATCCAAGCTCTTGATGTGAGCCTTAATGACCTTCACGGCGATGTCCCAATAGAGAGCTTCTCTCCGCTTACCAACCTCACTTCTCTTAATTTATCATACAATCACTTCTCTGAGAGTAAAATCTCTGATGCCCTCTTCTTTAAGCGGTTCAATTCTTCGAGTTTTCTCCATTCAGGTCTACTCCCCGATAAGAAAAAGTTCAGGATCAAGGCTGTAATCTTGTTGGTTGGTTTTCCGATCTTTGTGATCCTGATGGTGTGTTGCTTGGGGTGGCTTTGTTTCCGGAGGCCTGATTTCCTCCCAAGAATGCTTCGAAGAAAGCACCGGTTTACACCAGCAATGCTTAAGGCAGCAACAAATGGATTTTCGAAAAGAAATTTGAAGGGGAAGAGTGAAGCAGTTGATATCTACAAAGGAACTCTGAGAGATGGTACTGATGTCAGGATTGAGATTTACCGAGGAGAAAACCACCCGAACTTGATTGAAGAATGCAAGGTTCTAGTTCGGTTATGCCACAAGAACTTGGTTAGTATATTGGGGTGGTGCAATAACAGAAGGTTGAGAGCCATCGTAACGGAATGGATGGAAGGTGAGAGCCTTGAGATGTGGCTGTTGGAGTCAAACAGTACACCATGGAATCACAGGCTGAAGATATTGATGGGGGTTGTGGAAGGCATGTGTTATCTGCAGGAGGAATGGCCTGAAGTTGGATATGACCTCAGGACAAGCAGTATCTTGCTGTCAAACAATCTGGAACCGCGAATTTCGAGGTTTAGGGTCGGGGATCAAAGCAGTAGAAGTAAGTCGATCCATGAAGCTGCACCATTTGCATCTGTTATTTTTTACCTCTCTTAATTTGGTTAACTTCTAGTATCTAAATTTAAACTTTTTGTTCAGAGATGTACAAGTTTGGAGTGCTTCTACTAGAGATGCTCGTAAACAGGCGGCCGCAGGAAGACTTTGAGACGGGGGAGGCTGGTTTTCTCGAGTATATCAGGATGCATTATCCTGAAAATTTGCAGAAGGTGATAGACCAGAAATTGGCGACACAAGATACTTTTGATCAAGCTAAACAGGCAATAGGCCTAGGGCTAATGTGTACAGATATACCCAGCAACCAACAACTAGGGTTGGGTCAAGTGTTTGATATCATTAGTCGAGCCTACCAGTCTTGCAGGGTTTTAGCATCTCATAACCGCGAAAGATTACATGCCGAAAGAGGTAAAGGGCACAAGCGCATACAATCAAGACGAACCATTGAATTCATCGAACCTCCAAAATCCAATTCCTGAAAGAGCTCATACATTTACTATGCAAAAAGATTTTATGTTTCTGTATGTGCTATCCGAAATGCTTTAATTTTCCTCGTGGATTGTTAAGTTTCGGTATGCTATTAGAGATCGATGTCCTTATTCGGTTTCATGACTCTTTCCTCCTTCAACAGCTTCTATAGTTCACAAAATATTGTATTATGCTTTGTAACGGACAGCAGACAACATCAGCGTAGAAAAATAATGCGCACATAACCAATGAATTCGAATCATCAAGAACATCAAAGTACAGAACTTGCAGGTGAATACAAACTGGTCCTTGTAAATATTAAGGGGTGGCAAATTACAAGAAATCAGGACAAAAAATTACTGCCAGAAAAAGTATTCTGTGTATATGTTAGGTTCAAGCTGGGATTCCTCACTTGATGACTCCGGGTCTGTTGGCTTGCACTTTAGATCTTGTCCGATGAACCTTCTTTGGCAACTCAGTAGTTAATGCATACATTTTCACGGCGAATAGTTCTTCAGGCAATCCCTTTTGATCCTGATGTAAAGAAAAACAGGAATTATAAGCGAAGAAGACTTTGATGCAAGGAAGGAGATATTTCATATGAATTCACTCAAAGACAGCTATGAAATGAACCAGTTTACCAAAACCAGCTAGAGTACTTCTCTTCCAGTTAGAGATGTCTAATTCACTTTATTAAGAAAATTGACATTAATATGAGAAACAACAAGTACTGGCAAAAGTCTGACAGGCATCGTATGACGTTATTCTATTAAGCAGTGTCCATGCACTACTTAAATCATTTCTCCTTCACTTCTAGACTATATTAGTTATCAGCAATAAACAATGAAAATAAAAGTAACATAACGCATCAGATAAGGTCCGCATCAAATTCTAGAGCTAATAGTACAAAGTACAAATTTCACATTTAACCTTTGATATGTAAAGATGAAGTCCACATTGACGAAAGAGCTCCTTAAAGTACAAATCAGACCTAGTGACACTCCGATCTTCTGTGTCTAACACGAATCCTACAAATCAATACGATTAGTCAACAAGAAGTTGTTATTCTCTGTTAAATTTAGTCTACAAAAAAAAGAATGCAGATGAATACACTTTTTGTGGCGTGGTAAACTTGGTATTAGTAGTAGTGGAAACAGGTGAGATGAGAATTTTACCATGACCACATGAAAGAAGGGAAACAGCGAGCAACTTACCGGATCTTGCAATATTTTCCTTCAGAACAAAAAGACCACCAGGTTTTAATCCAACCTAGAAACAGGTGACCCATATAAAAATGTTAGTACCTTTCTACACACAAAACTAACAATAATAGGGGTCATGATTCTTCCATAAATAGAATTATTACAGAGGCACCAATCCAATAAACTACAAAGCAACATGTTAAGGGCATAAATTTGACTGGACGTAAAAAAGTGGTACTATAATAGGAATAATTCTGCCATCAAAGTGCTTCTATCAAAGATTGACAACAAATAGATAAAATCAAACATTCCCAGGCACTTGATAGCACAAAAATAAGTGATTTACATCTTACTGAGGACATAAGCAATAACCTGGTTCTTTGACCCAATAATCCCCAAGTTAACGTGTAATGGTACACTGGTTTTTCCATTTCCTTTTTCTTTTTTCCTTTTCCTGTTTTTGGTTTGGAGGGAGGAAGGGACCGAATGGTCCTATGAATTGAACACTATGTCTGAGCATAAAGTCAGTAAGAACAGAAATTTTAAATTTAAGGAAGACATTAATGCTTCACAGAATTTTATAAATTTGTGGATGTAAATGGTCAGAAGATTGTGGATCTTCAAGTTCAATTCCATAGCGAACAGTCTAGATTTGATCATGAAATGATAGTGATGCAATCGCAGTAGATGCCTTGATATCTGAAACATAGTTTTACATTGATATTCAAGAAAACCATTTTACCTTTGCCCGTTTAAAGAATGAGACGAAGTCATCATCTGTCAGATGACCAATACACCATTGAACCCATATAATGTCGTACCTCCCTGCTTCTGGTGTGAATTCCTAAAAATGGAAGCAAGAAAATGTTCATGAGGTTTCCAAAAGAGTCAGCGAGGTAAGAGACCGATGTTTAGAAAAAGTTAAGAAAGGAAGACGCTTCATGAGTGCATTGGATTGGATTGACAAAATTGCATGGCAGGTATTTAAAAAATAAATAAAAAATAACCTAGCAAACCATTGTATGACTAATATGGGAGATATAGTTCACCATCTAAACACGAACAAAGAAATAAAATAGCAGGTTGTAAGTGTTGAGACCATCCAATGTTTCTGGTAATGTTTTGAATTTGAGCATATTACCTGAAGAGGCACGCAGAAAAAGTTAGTAGCTTTGTGCGTCTCACAGACCATATGATTTTCAGGAGCCAGACTTTCACGAGCAGTTTCCAAGAAATGAGATACAGGCTCAAGAAGATCAACCTGGGTTTTCAAGAAAACAGAAATAAACAATCAAAGAGAACAAACGTGCAAAGGTTACGAAGGATAATAAGCTCTATCAAGTTTTAGTGGCACTGGTTTGTTCCATGTAACACAAAAACAATAATTCAGTCTGAATGAAAATCCAAAACATGAAAACAATACAAAGCTATAGATATCCTGACTCAAGCTCAGAAGTGAAGAAAAGCTAAATCAGTTATCACTTATCATCTAATAAATAAATCCAAAAGCTAGAAAGATAAGAACCAACACGTATTTTTGAGGTCTCGTGATAAAGTCTAGCATCCATGTTCAACATATGCAAGCATTTGGATGCATTTCACATTAAATTAAACCATTGGAACTTACCTGAATTTGCTTCTACAATTTGGGATTGACAGGGACAACATACACCATGAAATACAAGTTCACACAAAGACCTCAACTTTATACAGTAACATCAAAAGAAATTCACAGAAACTGAATATCGAAAGATGGCGGTAGAAGAGGGAGGTGCTGTCCCGAAACTGAACTCACCTCATTGAAGTATCTTATGAGAAGATTTTTGGAGACTCTGCCAATGCCAGAACCACAATCTGCGGAAATTTAGATACTGGTAAGAACTTGCCTGATTTTAAAACTACAAACCAATAGAGCCAAAATTTGGATTGCAACCCTCCTCAAATTTGCATTTTTTATGAACAAAAGTGAACTTATTTAATCTAAATTCAACAAATACGACAATTTAAAGCACCTCAAACAAAGAAAAACATAGAGAAAGAAAGATTTTGTGTACCAAGAACAACAAGGTGACGTTGGCCATTTGCAGAGTCGGGAAAGCGCTCAGAGAGAAGCTGCTTAAGAAAAGCTTCACTGCCCATTATGTCAGGCTCATTCACCTGCGCATATCCTCCCAACACTCCATTGGTCGACGCCTCCACACCCTTTACAACGAAACACACCAAAACATCACACATTTTCCCGATGCCCACAACCTGCTCGACGAAATGACTGAACCAAAAAGCAGAAACCAAAACAGAGAAGGTTGACAAAAGCACTTACTTCCCAGTAGCCAACGCCTTGGCGGTACCACTCGGTCTTCTTGCTGTGGTCGTCCCCGACCTGCTCCCTCCACATCTCCTCCGCGTTCTTGAATTCTCGGCCGGCGGAGTCTAACCCACCTTTCTCCATTGACACTCGAGTTTCGGTTCCGTTTCGGCGGCTGTTGGGTGCTTTAAACGGTTCCTTGGCAAAACAACGTCGCACGGCGGCAAAGATGAAGTCTTTTGAAAGTCGCTGGGAGCATAGAATGGAGTGATGCTGCATGAAAAAGTTTGAAAACCTATGATCTGGACGATGACGATGAAAAAATGCCAGCTAGATAACTTGTTCCTGCGTGGCAATTCTTAAGATTCTGTGACGTGGCATGATCATGGTGAGAACACAACTTGATACACCAATTACTGAAAATGTTAAAAATATTTATGTACCGATCTGTATTGACGGCACATTGAAAATCTCTCGTCCGAACACACGGAATAGTTTCATCGTCTCTAAGCTTTGAAAAGTATTAGGAGGTGTATTCAATTGGAATTTTAAGAGATTTTAATTCTTTTAATGAATTTAAGAATATTCAATCAGGATTTTAAGTGATTCTCTGAAATTCAAGTTGTATTCAATTAGAATTTTAAGATAGTTTATTAAAATCTTTAGAAATCCGGGTGTATTCAATTATGATTTTAAATAAGTTTATAACATTCCAGGTGTATTTAATTAGAAATTGATTTTAAAGAATTTGAGAAAGTTGAGGAATTTGAGGGAATTTGAGAGATTTCGTAGTGTATTTTAAGCATTCACAAATCACACATCTCCTCACGAGATTTCGAGAGAATTGAATCAAAATTTTATATAGAATATCTGCAAATCAATTAAATTCTATAAAAAAAATCTATAGATTTATAAATTCATTAAAAATTCTCAATTGAATAGTTCAAAAAAAAAAAAAAAAAAGCTTCGAAAAGCATGGAAGGCAGAGCAACATATCTATCAAATCTCCTGCAGAATTGCATAGACAAGAAATCCCTTTTGTCTGGCAGGCTTATTCATGCTTTTCTACTACGCAGCAACGACCTCTTTTCCAATACTTTCCTCTCCAACCGCCTCGTCGAGTTGTACTCGAAATGCGGCAATATCGAGTATGCAGACAGAGTGTTTGATAAAATGCCGCACCCAGACGTGTACTCTTGGAATGCCATATTGGCTGGTTACTCTAAATTTGGGAGTTTAGGGGATGCTCAGGAGTTGTTTTTGAGGATGCCGGAGCGAAACACTGTTTCGTGGAATACTCTGATTAGTGCCTTGGTTCGACATGGGCAAGAAGAAACGGCATTGGGGGTTTACGATACGATGATTTTGGAGGGATTCATGCCTACCCGGTTCACGTTGGCGAGTGTGTTTAGTGCGTGTGGAGCGTTGTTGGATGTGGAGCGTGGTAGGAGATGTCATGGTCTTGTTATCAAAATTGGTCTTGAGGAGAACATCTATGTTGCCAATGCTTTACTCTCGATGTATGCAAAATGTGGACTTATTAGGGATGCGGTTCAGGTTTTTGCTGACATGGATGAGCCTAATGAGGTTACTTTTACAGCTTTGATGGGAGGGTTAGCGCAGACGGACAGAGTCATGGAGGCTGTGGAAATGTTTAGAATGATGTGTAGGAAAGGGGTTCGTATTGATTCTATCTCATTGTCGAGCATCTTGGGTGTTTGTGCCAAAAGAGGAGGTGGCGAGTTTGGTGTTGGTGATCAGAATGATGGGATTCCATGTAATGTGAGCGGACAACAAATACATGGGCTTACAATTAAACTTGGATTTGACGGAGACCTTCATGTGAACAATTCATTGCTCGATCTGTACGCAAAGAATGCGGATATGAATAGTGCCGAGAAGGTTTTTGCTAGTTTACCTGAAGTTAGTAATGTTTCTTGGAATGTCATGATAGCCGGGTATGGCCAGATACACCAGAGTCAGAAAGCTATAGAATATCTGCAAAGAATGCGATCTTGCTGTTTTGAACCAGATGAGGTTACTTACATACACTTGCTTGCAGCATGTGTCAAGTCTGGTGATATAAAAAGTGGACGCAAAATGTTTGATAACATTTCTTGTCCAAATGTGAGTTCATGGAATGCCATTCTCTCTGGATATTTCCAGACTGGTGATCACGAGGAGGCGATAAAGCTGTTCAGGGAAATGCAGTTCCAAAATGTACAACCTGATCGAACAACTTTTGCAATTGCCCTTAGCTCCTGTGCCGCAATGGGGCTTCTGGAGGCTGGAAAAGAGGTTCATGCTGCCTCCCAAAGGGCAGCCTTTCATACAGATATATATGTTGCAAGTGGACTTATTGGCATGTATTCAAAGTGTGGTAAGACAGAAATGGCAAAGCATATATTTCATAGTATGCTTGAATTAGATATTGTCTGTTGGAACTCTATGTTAGCAGGCCTTTCACTCAATTCTCAAGATAAGGAAGCTTTCACTTTCTTTAAGCATATGCTGCAAGATGAGATCCTTCCTACCCAATTCACTTATGCTACTGTAATGAGTTGTTGTGCAAAGCTATCTTCTTCGTTTCAAGGGAAACAGGTTCATGCTCAGATGACAAAAGATGGATATATGAATGATGTCTTTGTAGGAAGTGCTCTCATTGATATGTATTGCAAATGTGGTGATGTGGATGAGGCCCGAAACTTTTTTGATATGATGCCTAGCAAAAATACTGTTACTTGGAATGAAATGATACATGGGTATGCACAAAATGGACGTGGAGATGAGGCCGTTCTGCTTTACAGGGACATGATTGAATTAGGTGAAAAACCTGACGGTATAACTTTTGTTGCTGTTTTGACTGCTTGTAGCCATGCCGGATTGGTCGATGAAGGCATTGACATATTCAATTCAATGGAACAAGAACATGGAGTGGTGCCTGTTTTGGATCATTATACTTGCATTATTGATGCTTTAGGCCGTGCTGGTCGTTTCCACGAAGCAGAAGTCCTAATAGAGGAGATGCCATATAAAGATGATCCAGTTATATGGGAGGTTTTGCTTAGCTCTTGCAGGGTTTATGCTAATGTGCGCTTAGCTAAAAGGGCAGCAGATGAACTCTTCCGCTTGACCCCACATAATTCAGCCCCTTATGTGCTTCTCGGCAATATTTATTCTTCTTTAGGAAGATGGGACGAGGCAAGGGAAGTGAGAGATAAAATGAGTGATACACAGGTTGCTAAGGACCCAGGTTATAGCTGGATTGAATACAACAAGGGAGACCGAACTGGTTATGGCGGGTGATAATTTCGTTGTGGTTGATGATGAAGTTGAAGCAGCAAGTAATAGAAAATCTTTCTATAATGCCTAGCCCAAAGTCAAAATATTTCTACAGGGGCATGCCTCAGTGCTTCTTCATGGGATCATATGGTATTCTCCTTGTGGAAGCTCGGGAACTATAAAACAGAAGGTCTGTCAAGCTGTAGCCTTTTTATAATGAGTCTGTTAACAATTTCTATGAACATTCTATCCTCTAATTTTGCTACATGAAATTTGACATCATCAGGTTGAATGCCGCGGCATCCTTCTGTCAAGAGCCTCGTTAGCCCTGGAAGATTTGGTCAAGTGAAGGGGAGGGGTTTGCCGGCTATGTAAGAATCGGATGTGCTATGTTGTAGACATGAAAGCATAATAACTCAACAGCAGGGATACCCCTTGAATCAGATAAGGAAAGAGAGCGTAGGTTCCGTTGTTCTAGTGCTGCATACTAAGTACGGGTTTCCTTTTTTATCAACAAGAATACAACTTATAAAACGGCAGCCCCAATTACAGGGACGGGGAGGAAAAGAGGAAATTCATGCCTGCAGGATGCCTGATCTCGTAGCGGACTAAACTCTCTCGTCTCAAAAGTACAGTAGCTGTAAACCCATAAGATTTTGTAATAGTTTCAACCATACGATGATTTTGGTTCAAATATTTACTTTAGGTCAAACAATAAAGGCATGTATGTTTGTGCTTCTGATATCAATTGAAGGCTTACATATTTCAACTCAATAATAACTTATCCATCTTTCCTATATCGAAATAATTCAACGGTCACCACGGAATTTCCTGGCCATCCCAGGCGAAAAACTTCCCGTTATCGTGGCTTTTTGCATTGAGAATGATGCTTAAGAGCTTCTGTACTGAGAATTCTGTTGTGAAAAGTTTGTTCTCAGGAACATTTCTCTGAAATGGCTTGGAGAGATCTGTGTCCACCGTACCTGGGTGCAATAAAATGCATGTGATCGGATCCTTCCTCCGGCCAAATTCCACCGATATATTTCTCGTCACTGCAAATCCACAACAATACGAGGAATGACTAAGTTGCTATCGAAAACTAGTAGGGGAATTATGCGATGTTAAGAGAGCACAAGGAAGAAATCATACGTTGATTAAGTGCAGTTTTTGAAGCTCGATAAGAATGCCAACCCCCAAGGCGATTATCCCCTATAGATCCCACCCTGGCGCTCAAGTTGGCCACAACTGCAACATCCCTGACAGTTCCAGAGCCGCCTCCGTCCTTTAAGAGAGGCCACATATGCTGCTTGCACAAAGCAAAGATTCTCCATAAACATTTGATTCAAAAACCAAGTCAAGTTCGAAGGATGAGGCTTAGAGTGAGGATACCTTGATCACTAAAACAGGACCTACAGCATTAACTTCGTAAGCAAGCATCAACGATGACTTCTCTACTTTCCTCAACGTCGTTTCTGTACTGGGAAGTAAAATAATAGAAATGACAGTCCGGCGTTGACAACAAATGATTTAACTTGTGAGAAAAATATTGCAGGTTTAGATCGTGATTAGACAATCAAATGTCGATGCATCCCTCACTAATGTGCATACCTGGTTGTAATACTTGAGGTATTGAAAGAATCCCAGATGCATTGATTAGAAGGTTTAAAGAACCATATCTTTCGCTGATAGACTTTGCAGATTGCTGAAATGCATAAATAAACAAACCTTTAGAACTTTAGAACGTAATTTTTTTTCCATCAACAGACAGGAATTAACGCATCCATGACTAAAAGCTAAACTTGATTGACCAAAGTGTTACCGGAAAAAGGAAAGGGCGAATTGTTCTAACTTCTACGGTTACTTTTGCCTCAGAATGGAGCAAAAGAACAAAATGAAATTGCAGAAAACTGGACAATGTTAACCTCTATGGTGCTTTCATTGGTCACATCCAATTGTAGAACACTAAGGCGTTCGGCAAATTTGCTTTTCAGATGATGAAGACCAGTTGCCCCCTCAGGATTACGGCAAGTAGCA